TTAATCTGGGATCCATTTCGATGCTCCTCTTGACAGCCCTTTTTGTCCTCTCCGATGGACCAGGACGACCCGGATGTTGTTCAGTCGTTTCCTTCCGTGTTTCCTGAACTGCACGATGATTCTGTTGACTGTCGAAAGCGGGATTCCCAAATTCTGCGAAATTTGCCACTGACTTATTCCACCATCTGCTTGACCAACTATCCTTCCTCTAACAAAATCTGACAATTCGAGAGAACCTTGAGTTCTAGGCATGTTGTAGCACAAGATAATTAGTGTGCGGACCATTTTCATTTATATTGTGCTCTGTGAACACAAATTAGTTAGCATAAATCAGTTAAATGACGAAAAATTAGGTGTCTATTTACTTGTGACCACTAAGTGTATATGTATAATTGTACGTATGTTGTAACAAGTAACAACAGTACATTTTGTGATAAGTTAGGATCCTGTTCCACATTTTTGTAGTTGTTTTTTTTATATATTCTCTGTGTAACGATAATTTGGTGTTTGGATGTTACAGGACCGTGGATGACATTGATCTCTATATAGCAGGCCTAGCAGAAAAACCAGTGATTGGGGGGTTGGTCGGCCCCACGTTTGCCTGTATTATTGCTCAACAGTTTCAAAATTTCAAGATTGGTGATAGATTTTGGTATGAAAATGGTGGTTTTGAATCTTCATTTACATCAGGTAAGAAAACACAGAATACACGTCGACATAACTTTAAAACGAGCTCTCCTCCTTGACAATTTATAATATGCATGACGAGCTCTCTTCCTTAACAATGTACAATATGCATGACGAGCCTTCCTTCTTAACAATGTACAATATGCATGACGAGCTATCCTCATTAACAATGTACAATATGCATGACGAGCTATCCTCCTTAATAATGTACAATATGCATGACGAGCCATCCTCCTTAACAATGTATAATATGCATGACGAGCCATCCTTAACAATGTACAATATGCATGACGAGCCATCCTCCTTAACAACGTACAATATGCATGAC